ATATCGGTATCGGACATTTCTCAAAGTTGTAATATCGGTATCGTATCGGAAGTGAAAAAGTGGTATCGGGACATCCCTAATTAAAATGAAGCAATCATGTTCTGGGTTGGTTTGCCAAGCAGCAATATATAAAAAACAAGCTTTTAAGTGATTGGATAAGCCATCCATGTTTTTTAGAAATCTGGATTATAGCTCTTTATTCCAGTGGATTATGGGCTCTGGTCAGATCAGGGATAATCTGAAAATGTGTGGAGGTAGGCTATTTAAAGTAGTGTTGCTGCGTCTGTATGGTTACCAATAAGAACTCAAGACAAAATGTTGTTTTGATATTTTTCTCACCATTTTGCGTAGAAATACCCTGTTCCACGTTATTTGTAGCACAATTTTGTATCGTCCATGTCAGCATGCTTTGACTTGATGTATACTTTTTTTCATTTATTTATTTAAAAGGGGGCAGTGCAATTTAATAAAACATATGACAATTCATAGGTTTAAAAAGCCAGAATTAGCCAAATGGCTATATTATAAATAATACAGCATGTGGTATTGTAACCAAATACTATTCAGGTTTTGGGTGCAGTTCTATGTGGAAGTTGCTATTAAAGTATTCTGTGGCACTGTAAGGAAACATTGTTTTGTAAATAGCTGAATGCCCTTCTTGCCTCTTTTCAGCTTGTTATGGCATCGTTCAGGTGCCTACCGGTCCCTGGTTCTGTAGAAAGTGTGAATCTCAGGAGAGAGCAGCTCGTGTGGTGAGTCATTTAATTCCTTCTTCCCATTCATCTTTTATGAGTTGTCTCAGTGACCTGCTCTTAAAGCAGACCTTTATAGCACAGTATTTTGACACTGTTTCCTAAAGTTTTATTAAAACTTCAGGACCATAGTTTTAGTTGAAATATAACAACCATAAATCAATAGCTCTTGTCAGATCAACTGGTTTTAGGGTAACCTGCTTGTCATTGCTATTTTCTTCATGAGAGTTCATATTTTCAAGATCTATCCTACAGCTTGAGCTTCATTGAAAACAAAAATTTGTTCACATTTTTTTACTCAAGAACAATCTTTACAAGTAGAACGTGTACTTTTTTGCATCAGTTTGTATTGGTGCTCTTAAACAACTTGTCTATTTTTAGGTTGTTCCTTAAGAGGAACTTTGTACCATTCAGCTTGACTTAAAGCAGAAAAAGGTTCTAACACAGGTATCTGGCCAAATTTAAAAATCATTAAATTGGTAACATAATAAATATTAAAACATTTGTTTATATGGCTTGAACTTATATAGTCTTATCAAGTCCGACCCCAAAGTGCTTTACACTTCACCCATTCACACACTGATGGTGGTAAGCTACATTGTAGCCACAGCTGCTCTGGCACACACTGACAGAGGCAGGGCTGACCACCACCAGTGTGTGTGAATCAGTGTCAAAACAAGATTTAATCAAAGATCCATAATAATAATAATAATAATAATAATAATAATGAGAAAAAAACAACTGAAGAGTAGCAGCTTAGACTTCAATGACTCAGTTTGTTACCAACGTCTCCCAAAAATTATTTAATTTAATTAAAATAAAGCCCATAATGTCCTCTGAAAAAAAAAAACGTTATCTGACAAAAACAGAAACGTAGTCAGTAGCAATGCCTAGTGGTTATGCTATAATTACATTTAGAAACACTAGGAACCATAAGTAAACCTGCAGTCAGAGCAAAGTTCTCGGTTTGGAAAATATGGAACAAGCTAAGATGGAGCTTGGTTGGTGAAAGCTTTTCATGTTAGAAATACAGTTTAAAATTTTCTTAATTATTTTACCCAAGACTAAAACTGGATCCAGCGCTCTAATTTTAAAAACATTAGATTATTTTATTTTGAAATCTGAATCATTACATTTACAAAAGGTTGATTATTTTCCTTTTAGAACAATGGATAGAAAAAACATAATTTACAATGTATTACAGAATAATAATGCCATAATCTAGTTACAAATTTGGTAAAGTTACATTCTTACAGTAATAAATTAGAGGTATGCACGATCTTTGTTTGGCACTATGTTTTGCTGCATCTTCTCTGTTATCTCCATTTAAAAGCTTTCTAAATGATGACCATAAATGTCCGTCCAGTGTTACTCCTTTATCAGATCTGCAGGGTAATATTTACAAAGTGTTGCTAATAACAGCACAAACAAGCTTTTCAGACAGGAATGCTCCCTCAGAGAGCCATTCATTCCCTGAAAATGCTTTAAGAACCGTGTGCTGACCTGAACTCCACAGACCCCTGAGTCATTACACAGGAGACTGGTCTCTCACTGAAACTTGTTGCAACACACTAGCTGGTATGGCTCGCTGAGTCTCAACTTAACATGACCTCTGCAAACTTCCAAAGACATGTCTAGATTTAGTCAGGGTAAGATTTACTTTATGCAGCTGTTGATACAGGTGTTTAAGTGCTTGTTTTTGGATTCATGTGTGCAGAACGAGCTAATGTTCTTTAGCTTTCTGTCTTTAATTTGATCGAGGACACTTAACTTGTACTTTTACATCTAAAAATGGGATAAAATTTTGACATGAACATATGCCACATATGAAACAGTGGTTCTTCAGGCTTTTGAAGGTCCTTTGTCAAAATAAACTTAATTTATTTTGGCCACTGGTTGAATTTTTCTCACATTTTCAGGGCAGTCCTTTCAACTGACCATTTTCAGAGGAATGTTTTTTTTTTTAAACTCAAATACGATTTTTGAGTCATTCAAGCATAAAAGGCAATGTTTTCTGTTTAAAAGACATCTTTGAGGATAAGCAAAAGTTTATTGAATGTCCTGATGCATTTCAATAATCCAAGTAGAAAAAAAGGGAAAAAAAAGTTTAGTAGATCCTTCTCTGTTGCAAATCATCCAGATGACCCACTCAACTCTTTTTAGGTTTCTATGAAATGCAAGAAGTTGTTTCCTTAAAAGCAAAAACAAAGTAATGAGTAGTGGCTGAAGTCTTTTGCACAGTCCTGTAAAATTGGAAAAAATAAAATACGTTAAACAAAATTCAGTGGTGTACTGACATGATCATTRATAAATAAAATTATTTCCAAAATTGGGGGGCTGTGCTATAACTAAAATTAACCGTTTGTTTTGTTTGAATAATTTCTAGATTTATTCAGATTATTTTTGTTTTGTTTTATTATTTTTATTGTAAAAAATAAAGAAGGTAATAATTAAAGAAGACAAATCTATAAACTTTGCATG